TCTACCAACTTTTGAAGCATCGGTGTTCTGCCTGCAAAGCCAATATTACGATGCCTCAGTTGCTGAAATAGCCCAGAACCCCTGGACAAAAAGCTTCAGGTGAGCTGAGGGCACTTCTAAACTTCAGCAGGACAAGACGCCCAAGGAGAGGAAGATGCTTACTTGTGACAGGGAAGGAGACCAAGGAGAGCAGTCCTGAGCGCATGGCTCTCCTGCTAACAGCCAAAGGGAGAGGAAGCAGCTTGATCTGGGTTCAACAGATCTTCAAGGAGTCTCTGGGAGCTCTGGAATGGCTCGGACGATGTCTTCCTCCTCATCAGATCAAGGCAGGCATGGAAAATCCCACTGCCCTGTCTGTTGTGGTTCACTGGCAGCCTGTGCAGACCGCAGCAGAATCGGACAGTGAGGAAGGGTATCAGTCCAGCTGTCTGGAGGGGACTCAGACGAGGGTCCGATGCAGAGATTAGGCCAGGACCATCTGGGAGTGGTGTGCTGACTCCGGAGCCTCCAGAGCCTGGCAGCAGCGAGGCAGAGGACACAGGGGAGCCTGTTCCCAGTGCGCGTGTGCGCAGAGCTGCTAGGAGGCAAGAGCAGATGAAACAAAAGGGGCGACTCAGGAGTAAAGCTGGGAGGTGACTGCCCCTCCCATAAAGTATAAAGGACAGGCAAAGGTGATGAAACCTTTGCAGGAAGCAAAGTTGTCCATTCGGTTCAGATTCATTCTTGAAGCTCTTTGTACTTTTTTTTTCCCTAGTTCATTTGATACTTCTGTAATTGGCAGCACTTCACAGGAAAGAAAGGTGGGTGCTTATCTCGAGGGACTGTTTGAGATTCATTACCAGCTGGGAATGTAAGCAATTCCCAGCATTGCAATAAAATAAGACTTGTTTTTAAAATAAGCGTGTAATTACAGTCTCGGAAGCCTTGGTCAGAAGGGGGGAGGACACAGCCAATCCCTGAGGGCAGGGGACACTACGCCTCTGCTGCCCTGCCTGTGGACTTAACTGTCTCACTTAGCAACATAAATTTTGGGATCAATTGTGGTCATAAGTCGAGGACTATCTGTATTCTTGCCGAGACTTGAATCAAAATTGCATTTTAAAGCTGTCTTTTGTAAAGAAGGGAAAGACCAGGCTCGTGTTCCAAACAATCCAGTAGAATTTTTCTATAAAGTTTTGCCAGGACTGAGGAGAATTCAACATTCCCAGTGCAAGAATACTTCATTATATATCCAGACTCCTGTGCCAAAAATTGTGCGCTTGCCCGCTTGCGCTCGCGTGCCAGCATCCAGAAGGCAATGCGCGCCCCCCCCCCCATGCCCACTACGCATACACACGCAATCCCTACCCACCCATCCCCGCCGCCCCCTTACCTGCATTGCGCCTCACAGCTGATTTTCAGCCTGTTTGAGGAAGGCTTCTGCAGGCTTTGCAGGCCAAAAAGTAGCCCTGTTTTGTCACTTCCGGTATTTTCGGAAAACAAGGCTAGTTTTCGGCCTGCAAAGCCTGCAGAAGCCTTCTTGAAGCCTTTGGGAGGCCGAAAAAGGCCTCAAACTCACCGAAAATCAGCTGTGAGGCGCATGCATGTGCAGTGAGGTAAGTGTGCTCGCAGCTCACGTGCCGGCACAAATGGCTCTGTGTGCCATAGGTTTGTCATCACGGATCTAGAAGAACATTCAAGGCCAGGTACCTTGTCCGCAAAAGAACCCCAAAATGCAAGACAACTCAATTCCATAGGAAAAAAATACTTTATTTAACAATATACCACGTCCATCATGGCTCCAGGGAATTCATTTCCCATTATTACTGAAGACAATGATGTGGCAACTGGGTGAAAGCAGTGAATGAAAGGTAAAGGAATTTCTAAAATGTGACAGAAGCGAAACCACTCCACCCCGTTGTTCTGGTAAATTTGGAGTCATCCACTGGCAACCTCGACCCCTGGAACATCCCCACCTTGACCAGGAATGGCCCATCATTGCCCGCCGGCTGCCAGTTGGCCCCTTTTCTGAGCTGGACACTTTGGGGGGAGTGGGGAGGATGCAGGATCCGAAGCCTCTGAGGCCAAGCCAGTCCCCACCAGACGCCAGAAAGACTGGCAAGTTGCAGACCAGCCGTGAAAATGGCTGCTAGGGCACCCTTGGGAAAAGGAAACCCCTCTTCTCCTGTGGGGCCCCCCTGCAGCTGCCCCCAGGGGCTGCTTGCTCTCAGCCCCCCCCCCAAGTAAGCCACAGCCCCTCAAACCTGCCAGGCACCTGGGGAACATGAGCCCAATGGCCTCACCTGCAGGAGGGATGGCTGGTCCTACAGCAGCTGTTCAGAGGCAACTCCAAGGGCTACGGAAAGATGCTCTCAAGGGACCTCGGGGGTATTCGGCCCCTCAAGCACCAGCACAGGCCCCCAGGGCAGGGGTCTCCAATCTTGGCAACTTTGAAGACTCGCGGACTTCAACTCCCAGAATTCCTCAGCTGGCAAGCCTTAAAGTTGCCACGGTTGGAGACCCCTGCCCTAGGGTATGAAAGGGATCCCGGCCAGAGGGGTTTCGGGACTGCAAGTCCCCTGAACTGGAGTTTCCGCCTCGGTTCTCTGCCTGGGTTGGGGTATCAGCAAGCCCCCCCCTGGTGGCCCCCAGAAGTTTTAGGAGGGGGCACAGGGCAGTTTTTCAGGAAGTGAGCCTGCTGGTTACACACCCCAGGTGTGTCCTTCTGTGATGGATGAACTGCATGTAGAGAGACTACAGTATGACAAATGTTTTTAACACCCGTTCTTGTGGTTTGATTTTTTCCCCATATTTTTAATTTGTTTTGTTTTCTTTTTCTAAGAAAAGCAACCAGAAAATAATCCAAAGTTTATACAAAACCTCTTTACATTATACCCTCCAAAAAGACTGGTTATTTACATAAAATAAAACCTCATTTTCTTTTTTTAAAAAAACCCTTTTGATGGGAGAAAGATGAAGCAAAAGGACATTTCAGGATTCAGCAGAGAGAGAGAGGTGCTAAAAAAAAAAAACCCAAGACCCCCAAAGGCATATTGTCACCCCATACACGCATTGTACAAATTGATTTCTCTGCCCACGCCTCAATTCCTTGTTTATTTTATGGGGGGTGGGGGGGGGGCAAGCCAAACATCCTCTCAACCCCAACTTGAGCTTCTGAAGGTTCTTGCCATCGCATTTGCTTCTGCCCACCTCTCGTCCCCGCAAATTGTGTGTGTGTGTGTGTGTGTGTGTGTGTGTGTGTGTGTAGGAGAGGATTTCACACATGGCAAAATTCCCGACACAAAGTGAATTGCCTGCATCGAGCTCATCATGTGTTTCTTATTTCGTTGCTCCGCACGGACCGGGAAGGGGACATCACCCAGGTTTCCATTTCTGCACACAAAGGAAAATAAACCGTGCCCAATTCCTATGACGTCCACATCGTAATTTCATTTTCTCGAGTGCCTGCATTAAAGACCGCAGTTGGTATCTTAACTCTCTGCCTGTTTTTTGCTGCACCCTGTGTGAAATCTCCATGTTTATGGTTTGGAACCACACAATCCTCCCTCTCCTCCCTCCCCCCACACTCTCCCCCTCCTCCCTCCCCCGCCCGGCCTCTTTCGGCTGGACTGTCCCTGTTCCCTTCCCCCCAGAGGGACCTGGAGCCTGGGAGGGTCAGCAGCTCTCAGGGTAGCCAGGCGGGGCCCGCCACCACGTCCACCACTCGGGCAGGCAAGACGGCTGCAGAGTCTGAGCATCAGAACAAAATGCTAAATGCCATCTCAAAGCCTCCCCCCCAACTGCAGGGGTAGCCCCCTCCTCCTGGCCAGAGAGGGCTTCCCCCATTTCGGGGGCCCTCTCCCACGTAGGGGCCCCTATCACTGGGAGTAAGAGAATCAGGGGCCAAGGGAAGAGTCTGTACATTTTAAAAAGAACGCTGCTACGACTACGACTACTACCACCGTTACTAAAAATTACCTGTCAATTATCTGTGGAGCCCTGAGAAACTTGAATTCTTGGCTGATCTCCACTGAACACGCCTCAAAGTGCACAATTACCTAAGCCCTTACACAGACGGATGGACGGACGGACGGACACCCACTTCATATCCTGCATAGAAATGCTGATGGGGAGGAGGGGCCGGAGGAGCCCGTCTCGGAGGATGGACAACTGGTCAGCCGGGCAGAAGAGCCTCTGCCCCCCCCACCCACATCCACCCCCACCGGACCAGCTTCTTGCAAAAGTCGGTCTTTGAACGGCAGGCAGGCTGAGGGAGGCTGCACTGGGCCAGCCCCGCACTTTTCCCCTGGAGCGTCCGAGGCAGACTCCAACCGTCAGCGGCCTGGCACAAGGCCTGCCGTGGAGCCGGGCTGTGGGGCCACGCGGCCTAGGGTGTGGGCAGTGAGCTGCAAGCGGGTGGTGAGGAAGGCGTCATGGCTCATGGAAAGGAGGCGTGGAGGGCGAGACAGCCAAGCGGCAGAGCGAGAGGCGCAGCAGCCCCTCCGTGCAAAGTAAGGCTTCTGGCGTGACAGGCGCAAGATGGCCGTGAAAAGGGCCCGGAGCCTGGGGGTGATGCTGCAGCCAAGCAGGCCTGAGGGGAATTGGGGGGGGGGGGGGGGGGGGGGGGGGGGGTGAGTGGCTGGATCAAAGAAATGGGTGTGTTTGTGTGTGTGTGTGTGATTGCCACATTCTGCAGTTGGGCATAAAAGAGACCGGATCCAAGCAAGGGGCGAGGGGTCTGTGTTGCTCCTCCTCCTGAACCCCCAAAGAGCCAAAAGCTGAACTCCCTTCCGTGGGCTTTCTGGAAAGGTCCAGGGACCATGGACCCTGCTTTCCCTTCATTCCCCTCTTCTGGGTCAAGGAATTGGGAATTCAGGGAGACCCCTCCCCCCGCCCCGGGCATCGCAATGCCATCTGCGGCACAAACAGCAGCCCCCCTCTTGACCCCCCTTCAGAACTGGATTCGCTCCTCCTGGACTGACCATTGCAAACTTTTCAGGTGTATTTCTTTTTTTAAAAAAAAAATTTGTTTCATAAATTAGCAAAAAGAAACCAAAACGAAGAAAGGTGCGCCTTTCTCACAGCAGACACGGAGCATGAGGAGATGAGTGTCCAGTGGGATGATGGGTGGATGAGGCCCGAGGCAGGACGGGGGACGGAGGGACAGGGAAGGACCGCAGATGAGCTTGTGCTGGGAAACTGCAGGAGGCAGCTCACAAGTCCAATCTTTCACCATTTTTTAAAAAGTTACAAAAAATACTTTAGAATTATATATATATATATATATATGTATATATATATATATAAAAGATGGGGCTAGGTAGACTCCTTTCTCAGCACGTCCCAAAGCTCTGCCCCGCGGGGACTGGCATGCCCTCCCTCCTTTGGGGTGCCAGGCTGGGTGTGGCTTCCCTCCCAACAATGCCCCCCCCCCCCGAACAAAATGGCAACAAGGAGCCAGAAAATCTGCCCCCAAAATGTGGCGGTGGCCATCTTGGGGTTTCCCGGGTGGGTTCAAGAGCGAGAAAGGCACAGAGCCCAAGTGAGGGCCACAAAGCAGGCTGGGAGCAGAAGGTGGGACAAGAGGACACCCCCACACACACACCCTCAAATCCTGGGTCTGAAAAGCTTCAAACTACAAGGCTAAATGCTAATCGAGGGAGGGAAGTGCTCGAGGGGGCAGGCAGGCCCTCCTCCTCTTCTCCCCTGGCACCCGGAGGGCTTCGCAGTGGGGCAGCAAGGTTTGTCCTCAAACCTTGTAATAAATGTTAGCCGGGCTCTGCGGGGGCATCTCCTGGACAATGTAGACCGGGTGCCCGTAGTCTCCGCTGACTTTCTCGTAATGAGGGCAGTAGTTGTTCTCCGTAGTCCGCAAAGGGATGATGATGTCGCTGGGCTCGGAGCCGGCGTTGCCGCTGCTCTTGGGGCTGGCCAGGGTGCTGAGTGACAGGGCTGCCGCCCGCTGCTGCGTGTGCTTCCGGTGCCGTTTTCGGATCTTGATGAGAAGGACGATGAGGAAGATGAGGATGAGGATGAAAATGACACAGCCAGCCCCGATCGCAGCAAACACGGCCACCTTGGAGCTGAAGAATCCGTCGGTAGGTCTTTGGGTATCCTGGCCATCTTGGTTAACAGGGTCTGGCGTATGTGGAAGGAAAAGAGAAATTAAGGAAGGTCGAGGATGGGACAAGGCGGGTGTCAACTCATAAAATACTTCTAGGGTCTTTTTAAGTTGCCAACAGAAAGGGAGGGGGGAGCAGTGCAGCCGCTTGGAAACCGAAAAGTGCATTCCATAAATATTTTCAAAGATAGTAACTAGGTGACTGCAAACAATTTGTTTTCTTTTTGTATTGTACAGGTCACCTTCAAGAAGTGAGGGGAGCCGAATGTCAACTCATAAAATATTTCTCTGGTCTTTTTAGAGTTGCCAGCAGAAAGGAAGGAGGTGGGAAGGGGTTTGCTTGAAAATTGAAAGTGCATTCCATAAATAGTTTTTCAGAGATAGTAACTAAGCGACTGAAGTTTCTGCCACGCAAAATTCTAACTGGAGAGCATGTTTGATGACTCTGAGCTATGGATGTGTCCCATTGGAGAATATGAATTACGATACACCCAGGGGGTGACAGTGAATTATGTGTCTCAGAGTCAGCTACACCCAGGCAGTGCCGGACATGTTAACTCCCAATAAATCCTTTTGAAGTTTTGGAAGTTTGGCTTGAGACTCATGATTTAATTGGGGTAAGTGCTGGAATCCTGACAGCAGGCAGTCTTCTCTCTCCGTACATCTTAAGAGGCCCTTTGGGAGGATGGGCACCACAGTGCCCAAACCCAACTAGCCGCACTTTATGAAATAAATTAGGTTAGAGCAAGTACACCACAATCTTTTCAAGATCAAAAGAAGCATCTCTGTGGAAAAGGGGCCGCCCCACAGCAAAACCATCTCTCCCGCCACAAGGATGACCCAAAGCTCCTCCCTCAAGGAGGGCAGGCAAAAAGGGGGATTTCAAGGCCCAGCTGTCAGGGTTGAGGATCTGGAAGGAAAAACACAAGGGGGCTTGAACTGGGCACAGAGGTAGATCAGCAACCAGTGAAAAGACTGTCCTGGAATTCCATCAGACTGAAATAAGAAGGAGACGGCGTTTTTTAAAAGCTTTGGAGTCATTTCTGTGAAGCAGGGGTCCCCAAACTTGGCCACTTTAAGACTTGTGGACTTCGACTCCCAGAATTCTCCAGCCAGCTATGCTGGCTGGAGAATTCTGGGAATCGAAGTCCTCAAGTCTTAAAGTGGCCAAGTTTGGAGGCCTCTGCTGTGGAGAGTGCAGATACTGCCTATTACAGTAATCCATTTATAGGACATAATCTGATGGAGGGTCCCACCCAGGAAGACACCCCTATCTAGAAAGGAACAAATAAAATGGAAGGGGGGGTTCCACTAGCTTTGAAGGTCACAGCTGGATCATGGACATCAAGGACAAGAGCCCAGATTTACTGGGCCACATACAAATTGAATAACAACCACTGCTACCACACTGGTTTTATGAACTGTCCCTTTCCCGATAAGGAAAGCAACCTTTTGTCTTGTTGACAAAAGATCAACTTACTGGACACCACACAAGCCATGACCATAAGCCAAGCAGAAGTTCGAACCTGCACAACCTCATCTCACTCAAAAGACAAAGAGAGAGAGAGACCAGATGCCCTCCGGAGCTCCCACTGCAGCTTCAAGGGTATGTTAAAGCAGTGGCCCACCAACCTTTTTTGAACCAGGGACCAGTTTCATGATTATTTATTCTTCCACGGACCGACACCTAAGTAACGTGAGACTCCACCGCCATCGGGACGGCTCTTCGTTCGAAGCCGCCTCCCCCTCTTCGATGAAACTAAGGCGCAAGCACCCAAACACCGCTTTCCAACCGAAAACCCGGAAGCGCCATCAAAACAAGATGGCGGCACCCAAGCTTTGCGGCCCGGTAAAAAATGATCCACGGACCGTTACCGGTCCGGGGACCGGTGGTTGGGGACCCCTGTGTTAAAGGACACAGCAGATATAAGATGAAATGCTACGAGGCCCCTCCACATCTGCTCTATGAACTGGCGCAGAATACCATTCCCACTGCATGATACACATTTTCCTGACAGGAGTGAAACTGCTCCGCTGGGCTACCTCTACCCAATCAAGCTGCGGAGAGGAGAGCTTGAGAAGAATCAGAAACAATTGAAATTAAAGTCTAATGATTGTATAGTAATAATATAATATGGAAAGTTGATTGATGCAATATGAGTGTAAATTTAAGAGGGAAAGACTATAGATATTGTGCACAAGTCAAATGTACCAACCGACACACTGTACAATTGAAAGAAGGTTTTATTTGTTGTTTTATGTATTATGTTTTGTGTTTATATTTGTTGTTAAAAATAAAAAAAAACTTTTTATTACAAAAAGAGAAGAGAGAGAAGAACCAGGAACTTCTTTCTCTTGCAACAACAGGCCTAACTTTGATGCCACAATGCAGATCGAAATGCAGCCGATCCCAACGATCCCAAGACTGACATCATCATTATTTTTCTTCTAACTCCAAGACTCTTCACCAGAGCTGGTGGCATTCTAGAGGAGCATCAGTATCGCTTCCGGTATCCCCCAGACAAGGTCAGTCAATCAACCTCCGGTTTGCTAGGAAATTATTCTGTAGCCCTCTGAGGAGACATCAGTTTGGATTACAAAATGATATGCAAGCAAACCACCAACGAGCCCTGGTGGCGCAGTGGTGAGAATGCAGGTTTGCAGGCTAATTCTGCCCACAGCCAGGAGTTTGATCCTCACCGGCTCAAGGTTGACTCAGTCTCCCATCCTCCAAGGTTGGTTAAACGAGGGCCCAGATTGTTGGTGGAAATATGTTGACTCTGCTTAGAGAGGGCTGTAAAGTGCTATATAAGTCTAAGTGCTATTCCTATTGCTATTCTTACAGAAGAGCGCCATTTTCTTTTCATCAATGGATTAGGATTAGTTAACAGAACTATTAATCAGTGGAACGGCTTGTCTTCAGAAGTTGTGGGTGCTCCATCACTGGAGGTTTCAAGAAGAGACTGGACAAGCATTTGTCTGAAGTAGTATAGGTCTCCTGCTTGAGCAGGAGGTCGGACTAGAAGACCTCCAAGGTTCCCTTCCTACTCTGTTGTTCTATGACTTCTATAAATGGCTTCCCAAGGCTGCAACTATCTACTTTGATTCATATTTCACCTGGTTTTCTTTTCTGCCAGAAGGGTCAGGAAACTGCCTGTGGAGACCTGCATCCACCAGAGGTTTGTCGAAGCCTTCCCACCAAGAGGGGCGGGCAGGAGACTCGTTGAGGGCAAAGGAGCCGCTAGAGAACAAGCACAGCTGGTATAGCTCTGCAAAAGCAGTACGTGGATTTAAGGAGAAACTTTATGAACCATCAGCGTGCACAAAACCGAGGCTTAATATGCATTTGGCCAGCACTGGTGCACCTTAAATAGGTTTGCATTAAAATTGAATAGGTAAAAGGAATCTAACGGTGACAAATGGGTTAAAAAAAACCCCTTTGTTCTTTTTAGGTTAATCTGCAGCTCTAAGGGGCATTTGGGCTCCTTCCCACCCCTTGATCCATGATCCACCCAGGAACCCACAAGAAAGCATCAGAACCAGCCCTTCTGTCAAGTGACACCTTCCCTTTTGGAAGAGTGTGGAGGGTGGTGAGCACAGCACAAAACATCGTGGGCTGTTTCCTGAAACCACTAGATGACCTCGCTAGGGCTCGCTGCCTCAGAAGAGTGAGGAAAATCCTCGGGGACGACTCACTGCCCCGTCAGCCCTTCTTCACTCTCCTGCCATCGGGTAGGAGAAGCAGAGCCAGCCGCACCAACAGGCTGAAGAACAGTTTCTACCCGTGGGCTGTCGGACTCCTGAATGGAAAATCACTTCATGTCAACATCATACGATAGACTTGCGGGGCCGGTGCGTTGTGCAACAAGGTCACATAAGATTGGGTCTGGGTTAGGGACTTCTGTCCTCACTGTGAGTTGTGTTGGTGGGGGGTGTGTGTGCATGAAGGGAGGCTCAGCCAATCTCGTTGTACACAGGTGGTACTCTGACAATAAAGGTAATAACTGCCTCTACCCCAAAGACGTTAGAAACGTCCAGCTGCACAGAATTCAACTTCACAGCATTTGATAATCCTCATCCTCCTTCCTGTCCACCAGGAAGGAGCAAACGGTCAGCAGGAGAAACCAGGAATCTCCTAGGAGGAGGGGGCTGCTGAGCTGCCTACTGCAGAGACGTGGGGGGGGGGGGCTTCCTCCTCTTTAAAAGGGAATGGATTGGGGGGAGGGATTTGGGAATGGATTTTTGAGCAGCAGTTTGAGCGCAGCGAAGTGCAAGTTCTCGCTCTCTGTTGCTTCTTTTGGAGGGATGCTCCCTCAAGCCTTCCTGCCCTGAGAGACTGACGTTATTTCTCATTTATTCCCCACCACCACATTTTAAACACTGTTGAATACATAACAAAAGCCGTGAACTTGACGCAGTGATTTCCTTTCTGAATTTTTATTGAGGGCTTTAACAGTTTCCCTTCTGTTTATACATTACTTTGTGCAGGGTCTTTTGTGTCTGTCTGTCTGTCTGTCTTTCAGTTAATGTCAACTCACTGCCTGGAGAAATCCGTGCCATTTTTTTCCACTGCATTTTTGAAAGCGGATTTTCTTTATCAAACTTGCTATATACTGTAGGTAGTCTTTGATTTACAACAGTTCAATTAGTTCAAAGTTACAACAGCACTGAAAAAAGGGACATATGGCCAACTGTCACACTTAATGACTGTGGCAGCATCCCCATGGTCACGTGATCAGAATTCAGACGCTAGGCAACTGGCTCCTATTTATGTCACAGGGCCGTGATGGCGAACCTGTGGCACGCAGAGCCATCTGTGCGGGCACATGAGCCTCAGGCAAATTTACCTGCACTGCGCATGCATGCACCTCCCAGCTGATTTTGGGGCCTTTTTCGGCCTGCCAGAGGCTTGAGGAAAGCCTCTGCAGGCTTTGCAGGCCGAAAAATAGGACCGTTTCATCACTTCCTGTATTTCCAGAAATACCGGAAGTGATGAAACGGGCCCATTTTTCAGCCT